ACAGGGTGTATCTAAAAAACACCGAAATAATTCAAGGGATGATTCCTTGTGATATAATATGATGAATAAAGGTCATATAAACATGTGTCCTAAACTTGCTTCGTTTTCGAGGTACAGGGTTACGTCCTGATTTCGAATCCGAAGTGATTTTCAACCTATCTTGCCTCCTAATATCATTTTCCGGAAATGTTGGTGGGTCCATGACCAGAGCAGTGTTTTTCACTGAAGATTAGCTTACTTTGGTCATAGTTGGTATATATATATATCTATCGCTCCTTAAAATTGAACAGTTATGTTAGATATACGGGTTGATATTCCATTATAGAAGTGACATGCACACTGTTTATATTTTTAAATACATCCAGTGGGATTGAATTTCATTTTATGTTGAATATTAGAGTGTGTTTTTTATGTGATATATTCGTTTTGTTTATTTCAAATATATATATTTTTTTAGTAGGCATACTAGTACTTCTTCTATATAATTCTGAAATCTGATCGACCCTGTATTTGTTTCAATTAAATGGCATCAGTAGATAGTAAATAGGATAGGGACACATGTAAGCCATTTTGACAAATCAATATAGGTATTGTATAGTTTCGATACAAAAAAAATCTCGATTTTTCACATTCTACGTATAGGTATACCTTGAGCTTGATCAACGAAATCATATAGCTCAATTAGAAGAATCGAAAAATGTAATAAAATATAAGGTGTTCCATTTTGAATAACAAAGCTGCTACTACTATACTACTAAGTACTACATAACTACTAATAATAATTTCTAGTGAAGCAGATGAACATCATCGAAAATAATTTGAATAAAACGAGCGTCCTCGCCAACAAAACATACGCATATAACATATAATATGTACATATATAGTTTCATGATTTTCGATGAGTGGTTCGCTATTTACATGTAGGACTCGTCGTGACACTCGTGACATAGCGAATTATTGCAAATCAAATCATCGCTTTCATTATCTGATAGGTCGCAGTAGATCACTTGATGCCTATCAAATGTTTCTTATTTATTCGAAAAAAAATGTTGAAATGTGATCAAGAAAACTGTTGGTGGCCCACCCCGTACTACAAAAACAAAGACAGCATGAGAGAAGCTGCCTGCCCACTCATTGTATCATGGTCTCGGTCTCCCCACCGCTTAGGTAACGATCGAGCGTGTTCGGTGAACACACGGGTATGATCTCGAGACTCTTGTATGAATACAGGGCTGAAAATACAGGACGTGGTTTCTTAGCTCATTTTAAGAAAAAAAAAATTGATATGAACATATACCCTAAACCCTTAACCTCTTAACTTTCGAGCTATAGGGTGTTGAAATTTTAAGAAAAAGTTCATGTTCATATCATATCAACTTCAATACTGTCCTAGATATTTTCATGAATTTTGACATGCACCTAGAGAGCACCAATAGTGATTTTTTGTTTTCGTGGAAACCAGAACATAAAAGAAAATATAGACATGTGTCCTAAAATCCATCTCCTCCAAGCTACAGCCACTGTAAGTCAGGTAACGAAAAAATACAGTGTGTCCCACTTACCATGCTCACCATGGGTATCTTATTAACGGTGAGAGATACGAGGTCGGTTAAATGACACCAAATGTGGAGTTTGTCAAGGCCAACTATAATGTGAAAAAATATTTTGATAAAATCTATTCGTTTTTGTTTTATACGCAAAAAATAGATTTTGATCATTTTCATGTTTCCTCCGTAACTTGTTTATTTATGAAAATATTCAAATAGGAATTCCACATTCTCATGGCAGTTTTTCAAAGTGATTTCGAAAAAAATATGACATTTATACCAACTCTTCTAGAATTAGAGATATCAGCACCAAGTTTAGTTTTTCTGATGTAGGTCATAGCTCACTATGACTTAGTTACAAATAACTTTTTTTTTCTCCCAAAGATGATATGTCGCAGTAATAGTTTTGTGTTGATAACAACGGAGTTATCGTCATTTATACAAAAACAAAAAATTATTTCGAAGCCGCCATCTTGAATTTATGAATTTTAACAAGAAAATCATGATCTCCGACCTCAAAAACCCCCACTTACCAATTTTGAATGGAATCGGACCAAATCTTGTCCGCCATCAAATAAAAAAAATGCCTGCTACAAGATGGCGGACAAGATTTGGTCCGATTCCGTTCAAAATTGGTGAGTGGGGGTTCTTGAGGTCGCAGATCATGTTTTTTTTGTTAAAATTCATAAATTCAAGATGGCGGCTTCGAAATAATTTTTTGTTTTTGTATAAATGACGATAACTCCGTTGTTATCAACACAAAACTATTACTGCGACATATCATCTGTGAGAGAAAAAAAGTTATTTGTAACTATGTCATAGTGAGCTATGACCTACATTTGAAAAACTAAAGTTGGTGCTGATATCTCAAATCCTAGAAGAGTTGGTATAAATTTCAAATTTTTTTCGAAATCACTTTGAAAAACTGCCATGAGAATGTGAAATTCCCATTTGAATATTTTCATAAATAAAGAAGTTACGGAGGAGACATGAAAATGATCAAAATCTGTTTTTTGCGTATAAAACAAAAACGAATAGATTTTATCAAAATATTTTTTCACATTATAGTTGGCCTTGACAAACTCCACATTTGGTGTCATTTAACCGACCTCGTATCTCTCACCGTTAAAAAGATACCCATGGTGAGCATGGTAAGTGGGACACACTGTATATTCTGAAATTGTGACGGGGATCAAATCTTCTGGAAATTGGCAAGCCCCTGTCATCTTATAGACACTTTATTCTATTATTCCTTCTGAAATCATGTAACCCCAATTTTGGGGGAGTTGGATCTAGGGGGTTCTCACTTTTATTGGCCGAAATGGGGTGCCCTATAAGACACAGGTTTATATGACGAAAAATTATTATTTTGATCTCAACAATACGTCCTTAAAATATTTACATAGAATTTTTAATCACCCTATATAATTCATAGATGAAGAAATACAAAGTCATCTGCACAACATCCAATTTTAAGATTTATCGAAATTAGATTGTTGAAGGATCCTCAACAAAATACTGGATTACAAGAAGTTCCTCGTCTTCGTTGTCTTGCCTCCTCACTATTCTCTTGATATTCGACAAACTGGAAGTTCTGTCAAATTTAGCAGCCAAATACTTCACATAATTGTTACTTGGTAATCTCCTGCCTGGATAACTCCTCATATACTTACGAAGTGTTTCAGCAATTTATTAACTGAAAAATAACACTCCAAAATATCTCTTCTTTGTTCCAGTGGATATGGCATCGTGAAAAAATTGTCGAAATTTTGCGCACTTATGTCACTGGAATGTTGACCAAATGTCAATTCACTTATTCATCATCTCATTCTATTTCAACCATAGCAAACTTGGACCAAATATTGATATTTAATTTTGCTGATATTCCATCAAGCCCTCGATAGAATATATGAAAAGTATATATTTTCAAAATCAGGAAAGATAGCTCTTTCGAAATATGCGATAATATACAGGGGGTTCCATTTGAAAAAAAAATCACAAACCCTGTATATCAAATGATAAAATCAAGCGGAGAACACATTTTCTAAAAGGAAACGACATCTCATTCAAGTACCTTTTTCCAAATTTCGAATATCTTTTTTCGTTTTCGAGATATCAGCTGTTGAAGTCGTGAAATCCATAGTCAATCACCCTAAAGAGATTTTTTCAACTTTTGATTTTTCCGGATGTAACCTGATATTCAGTTGGTATGTCCTGTATATCTTTCCAGTCCTCCATGATATAATAATTGGAAAAATATGTACAAATTCATAATGTACAAACAATTTGGAGACTGCGCTCAAAAATATTGTGTAAATATTTTTTATACCAACTACATAAACCATTTCACGTGTGACAATGTTCCAAATATTTACATGCACATCATATTCTAGATTACATACTGACTTAGATGAATAGCTATTTGTATAACAAGGGAGGAAAATGCTACTTTTTCTTCTGAGGATGGTGTTTACTGCCCGACGCGTACCGGAGGTCAGTAATCATTCAAGGGAGGAAAACAAACTTTTCCCCCATGTTGTACATATGATTTTTACGTCTTCCTCAAATAACAAATCATTTTCGAATTATTTATTTATGAAACTAACAAACAAAATTTATTCATGAACTAAAACTAGGAACTAGGTACAGAATAACTTATAGGCATATTCATTCTTGCATCCTATATATTTTGAATTTGTGGTAGAGTAATTGGAACAGATAAGATACAGGGTGATCAAAATTTTGAATCTAGAATGACCCTGTATCTGTTTCAATTAAATGTCAGTAGATAGTTAATCAAAAGTCAAGATTGGGACATGTAAGCCGTTTTGACCAATAATAAGTGACTAAATTCTGCACAAAAAATCCTAAATTTGAAAAATCCCGATTTTGAACACCCTATATCAGCTCTTCAGGGAGAATCTGAAGATGCAAAAATATTTTCATGTTGTACAGGGTGTTTTTGGCACACCCTGTACAACATGAAACTATTTTTTAATTGTAGCGATGATTCCTATTCATCCGAAAAAAAAGCTGTCAAAAAACCACAATGCTTCGTGTCGGATAACGTGAATAACCCTGTATAAAAGAATATAGTTTAGGTCGTCAATGCCGTATGAGTTATTTTATTGATGAAGTACCATAACCTAACTTTCACTTTTCCTCCCTATGGAGCAACAATTTGGGAGGAAAAGTATACTTTTACTTTACGCCTTCAAATAGAGTAAATAATAGTAGGTTCTATAGCTAGTGGTGGAAAAATCATTTAGTATTCAGGTAGCATATTTTTTCATGAATTATCAGAGCAGCTTCTCAGATAATTCCCATTATTTTGCCGCTCAAATTTTTTTCAGAAATTTGATTCAATGAAGGATTAAAGAAGTTTTATTTTTCACATGATCATTTCCAATCATCAGTTCAGTTCAAATGAGAAATAAAGTCTATCAAACATACCGTATATCTTCACATGCCGCAAATAATACTACAGCGGAACACAACACCAAGCACTTCTTGACACTAAAAGTCATCTGCATTATCATATGAGTAAACAATGAGTGGTACGTGGGAAATTCAAATCAAATCTGTACTAATTTTTGCATTGATATACACGCACTGATAAGCGGTCTACTAAGATGGAGCAAGGTTAATCCTAGCTTTTTATAGGTTGCAACCATTCATGGCCATCTTGAAAAATGTTGAGCTCCTCAAAAAGTCTCTCTTTGGCGATCGGTATCATCTCAATGATAAGGATCACGCATATACAGGGTGATTCAAAATTCGAAGTAACTATTTTAAGGAAATATTGTTTGGATCAAAATAAGACTTCTTCTTTTATATAAGGCACAGATCCGACCTGTCCTGGAATACTGTTTCCAGATTTGGAGTGCAGCACCCAAACATACCCTGAAACTGTCCAAAGAAGGGCAGTTCGTCTCGTGAGTGATGCCTCGCTCACAAACTCACTCACTTCTCTGGAACACCGTAGAAAAGTTGGCGACCTGGCTCTATTCTATAGATATTTTCATAGACATTGCTCTTCTGAAAAATCAACAATTGTTCCTCCCTTGGCAGTCCCCGCGAGATTAACCCGTCGAGTTGAGGCTTCGCACCCCTTCGTGGTCACTTTGGAGACCTGCAGAACATCTCTTTCCAAAGACTCGTTCATCCAACGAACAGCGAGGCTCTGGAACATATCTCCCAGAGAGGTGTTCCCCGAGGCATATAACCTCCAGAAATTTAAGAAGAACACCAATTCTTACCTTTTTTGCCTTGGTTCTCACGATGTTCTCTGAACATTACAGGATATCTTTTTTCGTGGGAACCAGAACATAAAAAAAATAAAAAAGAAGAAGAAGTAAATAATGGTAGGTTCTAGAGCTATAGTGGCGGAAAAACCCTTTCTCTACGACTATCGTATTCTACATTGATTACATATAGGTTAGTAATTGATGAATGAAGATGATTCCAAGACACCGTGGATCCCAACTCATTATTCAACGGCACTCGACCAATCACAGATTCAGAATTTTCAGGATCCACAGCAACTGAAAAGGTTAGACTAATGAAAAACCAGCAAATCTACAAAACAAAATTCTCAAGAAGGCCCTGCTTCATTTTACGGGTCACGTCACGGCTTGACTTTCGCGATGCCGTTCCATAGAAATGTAGGTACTCGATGAATATTGAAAATATTCAAGATCTTGGATCTCCATGAATGATAACTATGCCTGAGACCAAAACAAGAATTCTAAGGAGGTTCAATGTAACCGGGAAATTTTATCAATTTTGTAAAAAGTACATTGATATACGAGCAGCAAATGTTGGGATTTCCAATTTTCTCATGAATTACCAAAAAGGAAAATGTACTCTTTAGAAAATTGGAATTAATAAGTTTGCAGCAATGGGAAAACAAATAGTTACATTTTTGAAGATTACCAAATCCCGAGATGTACACCGGGCATTGCTTTGCTTGTCAATGCAGGTGGAGGTATAACAGCATTGAAAAGACATGGTGGCTGGAAGATCACATCGGTGGCAGAAGGATTTCTAGAAGATTCCATGTTGAATAAAAAAAACGGCAGATTCGAATTCTTCAATGAATCGAACAATGTTCATCATCATCAAATAACAGTTCCTTCACACGAAAAACATCAACTAGCAATATGAATAAAAATGTCAGTGTTGATTTAGATGCAACACCAACAGTAAAATTTCACGAATTGTGAGAATATCACTAAAAATTTAGTCACTAAGTACGAGAAACATAATTTACTGACCTAATAATTATTGTGTTGTTTCATCATTGAGTTCGTTGAATATTAAAGATTCCTGTCAATTGTATTATCATATCATTAAAATTCATACATCAAGTATATTATTTTCATAAATAATAATTAGATTACATTAAATTTCTGACTATCGTATAGTCGTAGAGAAAGTATAGTCTTCTACTCGCGTATAATAGCTATTATTCTCTCGGATAATTCCGAAACTCGCCTACGGCTCGTTGAAGAATATACTATTATCACTCACTTCACCAAATAGTTATTTCGAAAATTATCTTGGCTGAGTTATTCATGGTGTTTTAATTTTTTCAGTTGTTGATTATGGTTTTCAATGATATTATGAAACAATTATAAATAAGAGAAAATCGTTCGAGTGTAATACGTACGCATTCAATGAATAAAAAGTATGTGATGTTAATTAATGATTCTAATCGTAAACAGTCCACTCATGTATCATTATGTTCATGCTATTTTTCAGCACTGATAGTCTTCCTATTTCAGTGATGGAGAGCAAAACAGAATGAAAATTGTTGCAAATTACACAGGGTGTTACATTATCGTTGTAGAAATTAGGAAAAAATTAGAAAATAGTTCCTATAACCTTTTTTCGATGACCCGTATTTTTCAAGATAGAAGAATTTGAGTGAAACCATCAATTTTTCCATCAGAGATATCTGAACCTTATCATACTCATTCAACTCTTCATTTAGCTTCAGCGCAAATATAATCTCTTTTTTTCTATTTTATCATAACTTAAAATTTTGACAAATGAAAAAAACACTTTGGATTATTTTTCTGATTCTGAATGCATTTATCTAAAAATGAGTTTCTCCGGATAAACAGTGATTCATGTTAGTAACTTTGAATCTCAAAACTCATTTTACCTTAATAGGCATAATAGGTTTGAATACCCCTGTATAGTAAATTGACCAATACGTACCTACTATGAAGCTGGTACTTTTTGTTACCATTGACAATGGTCCTACAACATTTTATACTTTTTCTGATAGTTAAAATACTCATGATTCTATTATGTATAAATATTTTTATAAGGAAATTGTTACCACATAACGATACATCTCAGAATTCAAAATATATCAGAACGTGGTTGCGCATGCTGATTCTTCTCTACAGGGTAATACATCAATGTATATGACTGAAAATCAAGAATATACTCCTAGCAGAGAGTATAGAGAAAATATTCACATGTATCCCAAGTTTTTTTCGAAATACCCATATGCTCGGAATATACAGCGTGTCAAAGTTTGTGAAATAATATTTATCAATTTCTGAATACTTTTCTTAGGATTGTCTTGTCTCTCATGTTATATGAATGATATACTGACGTGAATATAAACAAGAAAAAATATTATAATCAAAAGACCTACTTACAAACACGTCATGAAAATTATGTCACACCTTATTATTTTTCTAAGAACTTGCTTTTTTCTTATTTAGACACATTTTCTTGATACAATTGCTTAAAATATTATCGTAAATACACTCACAGGTATGATATTGATGCACAGAGAATACATAAATAATAGAAGTTACGCCACGGTAGCATTTTCATCAATATTCCTATAATAATGCATGCACATGCACGAATATTGGAGTAAAACGAAATAAATCATTGATCAAAAAAGCCACATAGATACCGTTACACATTATATTTATTTCTCATTAAACTATCTTCATCGACTAGTCACTAGTGCATTAATGGTTTTAATAACCCAGAACAGATATTGTTTGGCACATGTTTGAAATGATAATAAACTGCTGTTCAATTGAAACTTATATTTCCAGTGAAAATTGTTCATTGTTCCACTAGAATCGAGAGTGACACGTTCTTTGGTAATTAAATATAAGTGAATTTTGAATTTTCTGTATCAACTGTCAGTTGTCTCATTTCATGGACTAAAGTGGCACTTCTGATCCCCTACCTCCTGTACCAGTAAAACTGTTAGGTATCACACTAGACAGCAAACTTAGGTGGGCTGAACACATTGACATACTGTGTAAAAAGTTGTCAAGTCAAACCTTCATCCTCAGGCGGTTGAGGAATACTGTTGATGAGAAAGTTCTGAAAATGTCATACTTCTCACTGTTCCACTCACATCTGAGTTATGGCGTGATTTTATGGGGTAACTCTACCCACGCAAACCGTGCCTTCATTCAACAAAAGAAAGCAGTTAGGGTAATTGCCAAGGCAGCTTACAAAGATTCATGTAAACCCTTATTCAGGGCATTGGAAATATTGACACTTCCTGCACTTTATGTGTATTATTGTTTGGTTGAAATACATGATCATGTTCACAGGTATAGCAGACATAAAGATCTACACAGCTACTCCACCAGAAATAACTCCCAGCTCATCAATCCTAGATTTCGTCTCAATATTTCATCAAAGAACTCAATTAATTTGAATTTATATAACAAAGTACCAGAATCTTTCAAAGAGCTCAGCTCCTCAAAATTTAAATTAGCTATCAAACAGTTTCTACTGAAACACAGTTTTTACTCGGTGGATGAATTTCTGTCATGACATATATATGAAAATACACCCATCTTACGTACAGGGTGCGCCTCTTAAAATGGAACCCCCCCTTAACTCTTTTGTTTTCGGAGATATGAAAAAATGTTGAATAAAAAAGTTGTTTGAAACGACCCAGTCTTTTATTTCGTAAAGTTGTTTCATATACAGGGTCATTCGTTTTTCCAGAAAGAACATCAACTTTAATTTTTTCAATGGAACACCCTATATATTTTCCGACATGTCGATAGAGCTTTTTTTTCTGATTCCAAAAATATATATGAGTTGCATATTTGGATGAAGAATAATAGAGTTCTTGATGATCAAAGTTGACCAAAATACCGCTTCATGAATTCTCACTTTATATCATAGTTGAACAACGTGGGCTTTGAAAAAATATTCCATGGAAAAGTCAATAAACTACAAATCATTATGTAGATAGATTTGGTATCACACTATAACAGTGACGTATGCGTAGATGTCGGAATGGCATCAAGAGTTCTTGACAACAAAACTTGAATGAATCTTTATAAACAATATTTATTGAATGAACTATATGAGATTGTGAATACACATTAGAGCTATCTACAACAAATTTTCAAAAATTCCACCATTCTGGTCAATGCAGAGTTGGCACCTTGCTGTAAAATTTTGACGAACCCTCTCGAATAATATTGGATCATTATTCAATAATTGAATTTCTTCTGTTATTTTATTTTTCACGAAGTCAGTATCTGGAATATCATGTTTATAGATCTTGTCTTTCAGCGCTCCCCACAGGAAAAGGAAGACGTCAGATCTGGGCTACGGGGCGGGTAAAATATTGGTCCTCGCATTCCAATCCAAGTGTCATAACT